TAGTTCTTTATCCTTTCATTTTATTTTTTTTGGTCTTGTTTTATTAGAATAGGAAGGTAAAATAGTCTTTTTATTGGAAAAATGGATTAAAATGACCTTTTGCACAATAAAAGTTGGAAATAGAGGTGAGAATACTAAAAAATGAAAGGTAAGGACGTTTTGCACAGTAACATTGAAAGTTATGGATGTTTTGTGCTATTTACACTCTATTTTAGTAAGATCCAGTTCTATTTGACTCATTTCTAACATACTTTAATGATTCCTTCACTCAGTATAATGAGTTTGTGGTTCTCCTCAGACGGTGCAATTTGTTGTCCTCTAAATAATGATCAATAAATTTCTCTTAGTTAACCAGGGTTTACATCCTAAATTCACTACTTTGATGCTCAATAAAAAGTAAGAAGAAATGCCTATTTGGGAGGAAGCTATTCAAATTTTTCGTGACTATTCTTTCCCCCGCTATGCCTACCTATAGATTTCTAATGAAGCATTGAGGGTAGTTAGGTCCTTTTTGCTGACAAATGGTACCACATTTAGCTGCCTTCTAATAGATTCTGTTATTTTATCACATTTTATGAACCAATTTAGATCTCATATTTGATAAGGTATTTTGGCCCTTTTATAGTCAAGTTCACTTAAGAAACTTAGAACTATTATTGCTTACCAGCTTGCTTCTGAATTTGCATATATTCTGGCTCTTCAGGGTTCTTTACTCACATATAAAGGCTAACTTATGCTCGTTTATGATCCTTTGTAAATATTTATTGATAACAGCAACACTGTGCAAAAACACCACCTTATGTGGCAGCACATGATAAGTCTTAAATGAGTTACATAACACTACATTTAATTAAATTTATAATTTAATATTACCTACGCATCACATAAGATGCTATTCATAGCACCATTGATATTAGATATCTCTAATCTAATTCTTTCATCTACTCTCTCTAACTCACGTCTCCTTTGAAGAAGTGGATTTTTTTGGTGTACCATTGACCACTATCATATGATACCTATGCTAGAGTCAAATTGGAAGCTCAAACGTTGACTTCACATTTGTGGTCGAATATCTGCTGTCTTCTCTTAGTATTTTGTTTACTAGTAATTTCGATACTTCAATAAATGGTATCTAGACATATAACAATTCCTTTTTCAGCGCTCCACTGTCTCTTTTGAGAGGGACGTAAAAAAAATCTTGTAGGCATGTGTTTAGTTTATGTTAAGCATTAACGGACATGTTACATCAATTTATTGGTGGATAAGTGTATGGTGAATCTTAAATTTGAATTCGTTATCTACCAAATATCAATGAATTGATGTGTCATTTCTTCGGTCCTTAGCTTAAGATATTACGTTATTTTTCTATCTGCACAAATCATATGTTTTCTAGGAATATTTCAATAGAAAATGTGTGATGGGCAGACAAGAATGAACCTTTTAAAATGTACATAATGGATAGTCAATGATTTTATAAGATTTAACTCAATATAGCTAAGCTCTTAGCTCCAATTAGAACAGAAAATGCAACAAAAACAACTGGAAGAGGCATCTCCGATGCCATCCAAGCCTGCACGCCTGCTCATAATAATTTCTTTCTGTATTTGCTCAAATTCATCTGTCATCATATTTCATTTCAATTTGTTTAGATGGAATAGAGTAGAAAAGATCACTTACGGCACAAAAATGCCACAAGAAAAGAATCTAACTGAAGAAATACTATCATTTTTTAAGAAGAATAATAAATTTAAGAACTTGAATACATGTAGTTGACCATTCAAGTAAATAATGCTCATGTGAGTTTATTAAAAAAATTAGGGTGCGGTTGGTTTGTCGTTTTTGGATCATTTTCCGTTTTTCGTTTTCAAAAACGCAGAAAACGCGTTTGGTCCGTCGTTTTCGAAAACACATTTTCGAAAACGAGTTAAAATTTATAACTGAAAACGCAAAACGACTTTTTATCATTTTGAGCGTTTTCAGTTACACATTGTCAAAACGCTCAAAACGCGGAAAACAGGCTGTTTTCGGGGAAAATTAAAAATCATTTTGAAAATGAAAATGGAAAATGAAAATGCAAACCAACCGCTACCTTAGATTTTCAGTAGATTTTGATAAAAAAATTTGATGAAATATATGATTGAATAGTTGATAAAAATTGTAGATTATATAAAAAAATAAATAAAATTAATTGTTAACTTTGATTTAAATTTTTATCAATGATTTTTAGTTAAATCAAGCAAGGAAATTAAATATTATTAAATTATTAAAATAGTGATTACCTTCACTTTGATTCAAATCGAGATGCTCTAGCATTACTTCCTGAGACTATCATGTTAGAAATAAAGGTAAATTTGAACTTGTTGTCCAATAATTATTAGAAAACATAAATAAAAGTGACTAAAAATCAACGAATCACGTGTCGATCAAGTGATCATACAACAAAAATTAAATCTCGTACTAAAAAACATAAAGATTCACATACCTCTTCTAAAAATACTAATAAGTACATCTCAATCGTAAAAGAATAAAAAAAAAGAAGGGAAAATAAGAAGAGAATCTCTAAACTCGACTCATATAAATGCACACATAGACAATCGACTAGAATAAAAGCCTTTTCTTACAAGCCTCAAATGGGAGTGAATACATGCAACAACATTTCATCAATTCTTTAACAAACTCTTCAATCAAATCTCTGCATATGTAATCTTCCAAAACTAACCCTATTCTCCCAACCTCTCTTTTTTCGCCCCATGCAATGTCACTACACACTTCATCTACACTTCGGAACTTTGCCCTGGTGATCCATCCAGGTGACACTGTGGTCTCTCTTCTTATTTGAAATAAAGATCGATACACAATTGTATGATCGTCTTCTCCGGGCTTCTTAGCTGAACTAGGTTTTCGCTGATGTGGAGTATGTAATATCCCTGCACAGTAGGAACTAAGAATTAGCCCATGTTTGAATCTCATAGAATTATATTCTATTTTTCTTTCTTCTATATTCAACCACATAATTTTCCATAAAATAATATTACATGTAAATCGAAAACTTTTCTTTCTTTTCAACTACTCATTTTTCAAAAAAACACTGTTCCACCCATTTTCATTCCCAAAAAATGGGGGGCCAAATGGGGGCTTAATATGCATTTGTACGTAGAAATGGACATGACTGAACAAAATAATTGATAGATTGCTAATCTTGCAAGGGAAAAAGTAATGAATGTGGGTGGACCCTAAACCTGAGAAAGTGGAGCTTTGCCACCTAAAGCAATAATAAACAATGATGGATCTTCTTTTCTTTAGTTTTATTGCAGGGAGAGAAGGCCACGAGCAATTCTTTTGTTACCTTTGGATCTTTTTTGACTGCATCATGAATGTCACTATGTACGAACCCCCTCCCACTCCACCCCAAAAAAGGGTAAAAATGTATTGTTATAGGTAAATGCAGTAGATCAGCTTAATTATATTGATAAATAAAGTAAAAGTCTCTGAAATAAAGGATGATCTTTCACTAATATTTGTCAAGATTAAAGGATGTTCTTTCACTAACATCTTGTCTCCAGTCTCATCCTTATTCGCTAACAAAACTTCCCGAATCAAGCTTTTGATGTTTTCATGCGAGGAGTCTACTCAAAATAAAACGTAAGTAAATAATGTTCTTTATATTTAATAGTTTTTAATACCGTAGATCTAAAGTAATTTTATATGTTTTTGTACTGGATAATGGTGGTATAACTGTAACTTATAATGACATTGTCCACGCCAAACAGGATATTATTGCTACTAGAATACTTGAGCGTTAAAACAACTTGAATAAAGCTGTAGCAAATAGGGAATTTTGTCAGCATATCAAGAACACGTACTTATGAATTTTCGATTCTAGGAAATTTTCTTAGTTAGTTGAACCTTAATTAATATTAACGTTAAAGTACCACACTTTAGTTCTGGCAAAAACTAGGTTATAGAAAGAAAGAAAAGTAATCAAAAAACTGGAAAAGGGACTGACTGACCATTATTTTGTTCTTTGGAGAAGCTGCTCAAAGGTGAACGAGTGAACTCGTCTAGCACGCAGACTGGACTCAGCTCCTCAGTTTTCACGTCCATAGAATGTTCATTTCCACCACCGCCTATCCCCTTCGCGGCCTCCTGTGACGGCAGAAGACGCTTATCAGAAGATTGCACCCTCCTTATTATCTTCTTTAGAGCTTCCAAATCCTCATTGCATTTGTCCAGGGCTTGCAGTATCTTTTTCCTATTCTCTGCAATGGGATCTTCGTGTAATGCAGGCCTTTTTACCAAAATTTCCTCCAATCCCATCAGCCGCGCCACCAAAGATGGTGTTTTGCGAATTTCTGAAGAGTTTCCGGCATTTGATAGCCGGATCTCCGGTGGAAGTGTTGGACTTCTTGGTATAGTGTTGCTTGATAATCCCTTTGAATCAAGAATTTGGGTTTCAGTGTGTAATTTTTTTATGTTTTCTTTGACAGTAGAAGGAGAAGCTTTTGTAGGAACTGATGCTTTGGCATTTCTTGGAGTTGGCAATGGAACTTCTTCTTGTTGTTTTCTACCTGAAAATGGGATAAATTGGATTTCGTTACAGTTCCAAGAATTAATGGTAATTACATAGAATAGAACAAAGAAATTAAAGAGAATTTTTTTTCTTTTTCTTTTTCAGCATTACAATATAAATTCTATTTGCACTTATTTAATTCTAGAGAACTCATCCTGCAAATTAACACTGGTGTATTCAGGTGATATTTTGCATCAAAATTAAAGTTAAACGTAAAATGAGTGGAAAAGAAGGGGATTTCTAACCAAAAGTAAGGAGCTTGTTCCGATTTTGGTACTTCGAAATGAGATGGATAATGCCGGACATGCAACCAATGGCTTTTGCATGGTGCGTCTCTGGCGGCGGCGGTGTGACCGGAGTCTCCCAACGAGACGACGAGAGTGAACTTTCTTGTCTCTTCAGCATTTGGTGCAAGGAATTTTCCTGTCTCTTCAGCATTTGGTGTAAAGCATTTCTTGGAAAAGCATAGAAAGATAAGAGGGCCGACTTGCAGTAAAAGAAATAAATAACCGTTGGATTTGTGTTTATCTGTTAGAAGCTAGTAAATGAATCATGAAAGAAGACCAGAAAGCTAGGACATGTTTGGTTTGCATTTCATTTTTCAATTTTGAGCTTTGAATTTATTTTCAATTTTCTATTTTGAGGATTTCTTTTAAGCTTAAAAAAAGGACTTTACTACATGTACATTAAACTTTACATAATGTGTTACATAATACCATATGACACTCTGTCATTTGTCAGTATAAAATATAATCAACTTTTTTCATCAAATCTTTTCCTTTTACATTATTTTATGTAATCTCTTATGTACGAGTAGCATAATCTTTTCCCTTCACACTTTGATTTGTCGTTCTGAAAAATTGTTTCTCTAAAAGGAAAACTGGGAAAAAAAAGCCTTTGGTTCAAAATATTTTAGAAATTGTTATATGACAGTTTATTCATAGAATTTCATGACTCGGTAAAAAAAAAAATACTTATATCCAAATATATTATCAAGTATGTATATATATAGAACCTGAAAAAATAGAGATAACCACAATATCTAGAAAGAGAACCCGTGAAATTCTAGAATTTTTAGAATTATTTTGAAATCACACTCTGAATTGCTTAACTCAAATTCCTCCAAAATCACAATACGTTTAGTTTCTAAATCAAACTCAAATTCCACCGAAACGACAGTACGTCTAGATTCTAAGTCCCAACATAGTTGGTGTATGATCACTGAATCATGGAATCTTAGGGTACATATCAAATGTGAAATTTTCAACAGCTTGAAACTAAATATTCTCTTCATTTTCCTTATTATAAGTTTCTTCATTTTTCTTGATGCTAGAATGATTAATAATCAATTAACAATCACGACATTCGTACACGATATTGAATGCCATTTTGTAAATTGTAAAGGCGATTTAATCAATGGGTGCGAGGAAGGGTGGATGGTAGTCGTGTCCTAGGTGATTTTTCCTTTTGGGTGAGCTTTTCTTGCAACAATGAGCCATCATTTTGAAGAAAGAACTTTTACTTCATTCTAATTAACTTTCTTCAATTGAGTACTGAGTACAGCCAACTGTCAACAAATACAAGAATTATGATTTCTAGAGAATCTCTATAATGGATTTGGGTTCAAAATTTTTTAGTTCAATTATGGTTGTGATTTTGGGGCTTTACATTGACAACAGTAGAAAATCGATGGAAGGTGGTGGTGGTTGCGGCGACGGCGGTGAGAGGCGAGGGGAGAGGTGGTGAAGTAGAAGGTGGTTGGGTAAGGGTAGAGCTTGGAAAAGAAAATGGAATTTAATTACTTTTATTTTTCGTGTTTGAGTGTTTTACGCGTTTACTGAAAATACTCAACGTCAAAAATATGTTTTGAATTTTTATGTTATAATCTTAATTTTGGGTGTTTTATAAAACTGAAATCAGCAAACAAAAT